TCTCTCCTGGCAGAACTCCCACTTCTCAATTTTACACAAGATAAGGAGTTTATATGGTGAGCCTTCACCTCCTTGTGCAAATTAATTTCTCCTTTGTGCAGACAAAGCCTGGGGAGGTGCAGTGGCAGAGCCTTGTGTGCCATTCCTGCTGTCCCCAGCACACTTTTAACAAAATTATTCCTAAGTACTGCAGAAACTCGTCAGAAGTGTTTAGTCATATAATTTTTACATCAGAAGATAATTTTGAGAGTAACAAATGACTGGCAGCTGGATGCAGTCTAGCCTTAATTAGCACACAAAATTATGAGAAGTCCTCTAAAACCATCAAGTCCCCAAGTGCCACATCCACACAACTTTTAAATCCTTTCAGGGATGGGGACTCCAGCGTCTCCCTGGGCAGCCCCTTCCAATGCTTGAAATCCTCCCAGTGAAGAAATTGTTTATATCCAATTGTTTATATCCAAGAAATTCTTAATATCCAACCTAAACATCCCCCAGCACAAGTTCACCTCCAAATTATAGGTTTAATACCACTTCCTACAAAATAAGCTTTGATAGTAGACTGGAAAAGCAATTTCATTCACTCATTTAAATGACTCTGTCAATTGCAAATTAGTCTTATTTTTCTCTTATTTTTCTCATCCAACTTCTTTAGGCTGTTCAGTAACCAATAAAATCCAGCAGAAATAACTATAATTTTACAGAGCAAGCTCATGCTGGAAGTAAGAGTTGAGCAGGGATAAAACAGAGGCCAAGTTGGCAGTACAGGAAAATCTCATGGTGCTGTTTTTGCAAACATGAACTTCCTGTGAGCTGATCTGTGCCCAAAACCCACCAGTTTGGATGTCAAGAAGGGCAAACTTCCCTTTCTTCTGGATGTCAGCTCTCAACCTCAGGAATACACACACATTCCCTGCCCCCCCAGCTTCCTGGAACATTGCTGCACATGAAAACATTGCCAAATCTGTTCCCTGGATGACAATGCTGAAATAACATCTAACCCAGAAATTTTCATTCTCAGAATTTTATGCACCAAAGTGACACCTCAGTCAGGGGAGCCATTCCTGCTTAATGCAACTCTATGTCCCTTCCACACAGCCTAATCTGAATTTTCCCCACCCCCCAAGTGGTTTATACAGAATTAATACAATGCCAGGAAAGATATGGAGAAGCAAAGGCACAGCAATTAGCTTTCACCCATCTTCAAAGACAATAATATTTCTCCCTTTAAATTGCTTTGCTGTCAAATAACAACCATACCACAGCATGCAAATGGTCTCAGCGAGCCCAATATTCCATTTCTGGTGGTGTCCAACAGCTGAGACTCCTCAATCAAATGCAGGAACAGCTGGGGACACAGATGCCTGAGATGAGACAGCTCTCCAAGTGGTTCCTGCCTAACATCAGGCAGGATCCTGGGTGATTTTCAAGAAAATTTGGGCATTTTCCATGACTATCCACCAGTAATTGCCTGTTTTCTTGGGAGTGTGGAGTTCTGCAGATTAGTTCCATAAATAGCAATGCTTTCATACATTTGCCTCCTTTTCTGATCAAGCATGTCCTTTCTTTCCTAGGGTGGAAGTGAAGTCTGCACCCCAACGTGCTCATGCTGCCATGAGTTATTTTTTAAAAGTCAATTTTTCCTGGTTACTCCTATCAGTCAACTTTTCCAGTTCATATATATCTACATATTTAAGAACATCTCTATAATCCTGTCAGCATTTCCTTTCTAGGCATCTCCACTCTGTAAGGCAAATGGATGTTTGTGTGCAAAATTGTAAGATATAGAACAAAGGTAAAAAGAACCATAATGTGTTCAGTTTTTGCCAGATTTTTTAACTGGGATTTCTGCTTATTATTCCACATGTATTCCTTGTGTAGTTCACTGAAATATGTGATATATATACTTTGTCACATCACAGAGGTATTTTTTAATTTATAACTGTTTTTCCACTCCATGTACATTCACCCCAACCAACACACTCCCTTATCAATAATTTTCTCACAAAAAATCAATTTACCTGCACTTTGACCACCTCACCACTCAGGCACTTCCACACTAAAATTAGCATTTCCCATCATGATCGAGGGATCTCGAGGTCTCTGACACTCCCCACAGCAAGAGCTCCTAAGTCATGACTTATTTTCAGCTTTCAGCAGCTTTAAGGGGAGTTCTGGAGTCACGCTAAGGAGTCACCCACACACCCCAGGCAGGTGAAAGGCGGCTTCACCTTGCTCTGGGCAGACCCAGCATTGTGTAACTGCCCAGGCTGTGCCAAGCAGGGCTTATCCTGCCTCCCCAGCACGGGATTCCTGGCTAACACAGAGCACAGGGAGCTTGTGTGGGCTTGCAAGAACACCCCATTCCAGTTTTTGTTTGTTTTTAAATTCCAAGTCATGTGTGTTAGTTACCGTTCCTCCACTCTGTGCCTAACCCTTCAAAAAGAGTGAATTAGCGTTGCTTGGTTCTTGAGACCCTAATTCTTGTTTTCTGGTAGAGTTTTCTCAATATCCAAATCTTTGCCAGGATTCTGTCTGAATTGGCCTTAATCTTCATTTCTTCAAAAGGATTAAAAGCTTCTTCAGCTTCATAAGAAGAAAGAAACTTCAGTCCAAAGACAAACTCAGGAAAGTTTTAACACACTGGGCTGTTCACTTTAACCCAACTGCTGCCTGAAGTCCATCACCCACTGGAAATCAGCAATTTATTACCCACTTGAAACATAGTTTGAGTTGGAAGGACCTTAAAGTTCACTCCATTCCAGCCCCCTGCCATGGGCAGTGACATTTTCCACCATCCCAGGTTGTTCCAAGCCCCATCTCCTCACAACTTTCTTCAGGACTGTCATATGTTTTAGAAAGAAAACAGGAATTGGAATGGCAGAAGAATCTTCTAAAAATATTCTTTCCTATGTAAAATATACTTGGGCTTCATCCAGTTCCTCATCAAAGCAGAAATCACTGAGCTCAGCTGCTGCAAGGCTACAAAAACCCTCAAGATTTTTTCTCAATTTCCAAAACTCCTTAAAAACAACCAAATTGAGTTTAAGCACAACAACCTGATGAGCAAAAAAACTGTGTGTGTGAGTACAGAAAAGTAAACTGGTTTAAATCCAGAAATAGATACCTTAAAAGCAAATCTTTATAAAGATCCTCAATTACTGAATCATCTACTACAAAGCACTAATTATAAAGACATTACAATAGCTGAAGAGGAAAAACCCAGCCTGGTTTAACACACTTGTCAGCTCCAGTTAGCTGCACTCACTCCTTGGAAGAGTTTTTACCCTGTGCCAGTCTTTGGAATCTCTCTGTTCTGCAAAACAAGAGGGAAAGCAGCTAGAAAAACCACAAACTGCAACAAAAGTACAGTGAAGTCAGCACTTGTTTCATTTTTAAGCATTTTCTCTTAATAGGAAGGCTCAGAGGGTTTGCAGGGCAGATTTAATGAATGCTTTGCCTTACAAATACCACAGCTGATTCACAGGGCTGTGCCAGACTGATACACCACTGATCTCTGAGCTCATATCAGTTACACATCAATTACAGTTATGTCTGCAAGACAGAATAAATCTCCTTTGTCTGAAAAAAAAAAATCAATCTTTTTAACAGGTCTTGAATGGGAGATGTAAAATTACACCACAAACAAGTTGATGGTTAAAAAAAAAAAAAGCTACAAAGGAACCTGGAGTAATTAGAGTCAATTTGGAGATTTTCCAAAAAATTAATTCCCATAAACATTCCAATTGTTGCCCAGGACTTATCTATTCACTTCAATCACAATGAGTTCACACCCTCCTCCAAGCCCCAGCCACCGAGTAAGAATGCTGTGAGTAATCTTTGCAGCACGGAGTAAATCCCGAGTAGATAAAGAAACTTCAGCCTTGACCTTTGCAACAGGGAGAGCAGAGGGAGCAGACAGCTCAGGAAGGCAAACAAAAGAGGGGACAAGTCATGCTAATGACATTATCCATCCACAGCGAATCCCTGCAGCTTCACACATCCTTGAGGGGAGGTTTTCATTTACAGAGGTCATTTGGGGAAATTTGTGACAGAACTCGAAGATCTGTCACAATTAATTTTGTGATGGCAGCTAAAGAAAAGGGTGAGCATTTCCACACACTATAATTTTAATTTTAACACAAGAAACCAACCAAGCCACCCCCTCAGCAGCCCAAGGTTAATAGCAAAGCCTGCCCAGCCTGGAGGTCATCCCATGGATTTTAAAATTGATCTTTTGTACGTGATCAAGTTACTGAAACCTGCACAACAGCATTAAGGATTGCTCAATAAAATAACTGCTGTCTCTCTCCAGCTCAGGAAAGGTCATTTCTTGGTTAAGGAATAACAGGAGAATACCACATTTTTTCCAGCCATATGAAAAGAGACTTTTTTTAAGAGCAAGTGTTTTACATGTACTTATTAATCCTCAAATCTCTAGATTAATGTATAAATAATATATTCACTTTGTAGACAGAAGAAGAACTGAGGTCCATCAGTTATCACCAGGATTTTCAAAACATTCCTTAATTTTTAATGCCAAATTTGAAACGGCTACAGACACTTTTCTGAAGACCTAGGAATATTTCAGTGGCAATTAATGGACACAATTTGCCCTATGCAACGGTCAGGGCACACCTCAAGTTAAGGGATTTATTTGCTTCTCCTTATCTCCCACACTTGGTTTGTTCCAGAGAGGATGGAAGTGGGGAAAAAAATGCTTAAATCCAAAAGTCATGGGTTGTTTTTCCAAATGTCACTCCCTGCCTGAGCAAGGCTGAGTCATGACAAGTGGGGAGGTGACAGCACTGAATTCTGTCTCTAAAATTCTCTTCCCAGTTCCTAAATTGACCCTGGCATCTCAATGAGAAATGCAGCAAACCTCTGGAGGTTTCCAACCTTGCCCTGCTTTGCAAGCAGCTAAACTGTGTATTTACAATATTAATTACTTCTCTTTTCCCTCTTTAGTTAAAAGGTTTGCCAGAATTCCTTCAGCTCACTTGAGACACCAGAAAACTCTGAAATCCGAAGGAATTGATTTTGTAACAGAAGGCGAAGTAGTTGATGGTGGATTTGGAAACGGAAGAAGAACCTGAGCATAAATTAAACCCCAGACTTAGAAAAACTGCAGCTACAACTAACCTTTTCCTTGAGGTGATATTTAAGATTCCTCTGATGGAGCTGCAGCAGCCAAGACAATTCAGCAGCAGCCTCCCAAGGGTGTAACCTGTTCCAAAAGGACCCTGTTCCAAACCCTCACCGCTCCAGCTTGTGTTTTTGGGATCTGCTGTCTCACCATGTCCAGGCAAACCCACGGTGCAGTTAATGGGCCTCCACTTTCCCCTCTTCTATTAAATCACCCCAGATAAATTTCCTTTGCTTCCTGCTTAGATTAGCAATGGCCATTTGTGAGGATGCAAATGAAGCATTCTTCTCACACTGAGCTCACCACCTTGTCTGGGACCTCAAGCCACTGCCAACCCAGCCCTCCCCTGCCAAGGGACAGGATTTGCATGATGTGTGGCTGCCCCATGAACGTTTTAAAACATATATTAGGGACTATAAACCAGGCATTTCATTGCCATGTTTTAGAGAAACTACGAGTAACGTTTTTAATCCAGCTGTGGCTGACTTGGCTTCCGAAAATCTCAATTTCCTGCCGTTTTTAAAGGCTCAAATCAACGTAGGGTTTTGGCAGCTGAACAATGCACATGTTCCTGGAGGAGGAGGATATTGATACAAACAAAAACACACTCCCACACACACAGCCTGTTTGGTTTTAAGAAACTTATTAAAGCTCCAGTCCCACTGTCTGTAATAAATCTTTCAGCTAATGACAATGGAAGGTAAATACTGCACCTGATGATCTCTTCCCTTGTCCACTTGGGTTTGAGGAGTTGAAATGATCAGAGATCAGTTAATGAAATCTGACCCCTGATACACAGCTCAGCATCACATGAAAATTTAAACAAAGCTTTTCTATGTGTTTAATTTAACACATAGAATTTTTCTCCTGTTACCCTTAAGACCTCTTCCCTTTTTCCCTCCCAGAAAACAGACAATTGACAGCAGACATCCAGCAACAGGTTTTGCCTCTTCCTGCACCATTATTTTGTTTCATGCATGTATTTTTTCCATTTCCTCCCCTTGCATCAAGCAATAAATTAAGTAGTCACAAGTTTAACTCTATCACTCACTACATGACTTTTCAGTTTCACAGTAATTTAACAGATTAATGCCAGTTCTGACATAAACTTCTCCACGGATTTTTGATGCATGGAATGCCCCAAAAATCTTCCTGGATGTCAACTCTCAGCCTCAGGAATACACATACACACTCCCTGCCCCCCCAGCTTTCAAAGAAACTCCTAGAGGTACATCTCTCCAGAATGTTCTCATTCACCTTCTTACACCATGACCCATTATAAGAAAACAACTGTGAAAATTAATTTCATTCCAAAATGAGAAACTGTGCTCTGCTCAAGTTGTTTTGCAGATTTGAATTTCTCCTGTCCCATAGCAGCATAGGAGAAAAAAATGAAAGTTCATGGATTCATTAACCACTAACACATTGTTGGGAGCAAGAAGAAAATGCACAAGGTTTTCAAAGCAACTTCCCAGCAGGGTAAAAATCAGCCTTATTTTATGGATGATGGCAATGACACTTCAGAAAATATACATAATTTTTTAACTAAAAGCCTTCTATCAAGGCCTACATTTCCTAGTTGTTAGACTCATGTTTAATTTGTGCAACTGGACCTTCCCAATTCAAAAATCTTACCTGGCATCTCCTTTTGAAAGGTTGGTGTTTACAGGGTGAAGAATAACCTTGTTTGCATCCACATCCACCACACATTTTGTATGCAGATCAAGCTCTATAAAGAAATGAGAGAGTGTCAAGTGCTGCTCCTAAAGCACTGGGATTATATACACCATTACTTCCTCCAGACACCAAATTTATTCATGCAGTCTGACAGCCACCCATCAGCCAGAGAATAGAAACAGGACTTTTGCCAAATTCCACTTCTAGGGATATTCTGATGGGATGGATCCTGTCCAGCTTTAAAGCAAGCACTCTTTTCAAAGCAAGAAAAAGCATTTGGGTTTCACTGAAGGACAATCAGCATATACAAGGGCAGTATGAAATTTCTTCTGGGGGAAAAGAACCATTTAGGCTTGGTACCACTTTGACAGCTCTTCTTATTGCTCCCTCAATGCCTCACAGGGAAAGCTGCCCCTGCCATCTGCAGCACATTTTCCCCAGCCACTGCTGTGATACAGTGCCAGCTGTCAGTCCTGGGGCACCTGCTCGCAGAAATTCAAGTCCCATCAAAAATAATTTAGGTGCAAGCATGTAGAAAAGGGCTTGTCCTTCCCCCACAGGCTCCAGGCAAGTCCAGCTCTCCCAAGTGACATCAGGCAGTGGGATGTGGACTATGACTAATGAGGATATTTGGAGTGTGTGAGAATTCTCGGCAGTAGAGGCGGGGAAAGCAAAATAAAAGCTTCGGATAACACTGAGAGTAGTCCAAGGTATCCACCCAGTGACAAATGGAGTTAGGTATGGGATAAAGCATAAAGCCTGCACCCAAAGTCACTGCTGTAGGATGTGGGGCCTGGACACAAATAGTCCTGGAAAGGGCTCCCAAATGGTGATTCTGATGGGTGTCATGGCCAAAGTCACTGCTACAGACACCCAGGACACGGGGCCTGTACACAAACATGTCCCTGCACAGTGACACTGGCCCTGGAAAGTGCTGATTCTGATGGCCATGACACACTGTTCACACCCAAAGTCATTGCTACAGACACCCAGGACATGGGGCCTGCACACAAACAAGTCCCTAGACAGTGACACTGGCCCTGGAAAGGGCTTCCAGGTGCTGATTCTGATGGGTGTCGTGGCCAAAGTCACAGCTACAGACACCCAGGACATGGGGCCTGCACACAAACATGTCCCTGCACAGTGACACTTACTGTGAAAGTTCTCCCAGCTGCTGATTCCAATGGGTGTGAACAGTGTGTCATGGCCAAAGTCACTGCTACAGATACCCAGGACGTGGGGCCTGCACATAAACATGTCCCTGCATGGTGACACTGGCCCTGGAAAGTGCTGATTCTGATGGCCATGACACACTGTTCACATCCAGTCACTGCTACTGACACCCAGGACATGGGGCCTACACACAAACATGTCCCTGCACAGTGACACTAACCCTGGAAAGGGCTCCCAAGTGCTGATTCTGATGGCCATGACACACTGTTCACATCCAGTCACTGCTACTGACACCCAGGACATGGGGCCTACACACAAACATGTCCCTGCACAGTGACACTGGCCCTGGAAAGTGCTCCCAGGTGCTGATTCTGATGGCCATGACACACTGTTCACATCCAGTCACTCTACAGACACCCAGGACGTGGGGCCTACACACAAACATGTCCCTGCACAGTGACACTAACCCTGGAAAGGGCTCCCAAGTGCTGATTCTGATGGGTGTCATGGCCAAAGTCACAGCTACAGACACCCAGGACGTGGGGCCTGCACACAAACATGTCCCTGCATGGTGACACTAACCCTGGAAAGGGTTCCCAGGTGCTGATTCCAATGGCCATGACACACTGCTCACCCCCAAAGTCATTGCTACAGACACCCAGAATGTGGGGCCTGGACGCAAACAAGTCTCTGCATGGTGACACTGGCCATGGAAAGGTCCCCCAGGTGCTAATTCCATGGCCATGACACTGCTCATACCCAAGGTCATTGCTACAGACACCCAGAATGTGGGGCCTGCACACAAACATTTACAACAGCTTCTTAAAAAAAATCATTTGAGTAAGACCTGTTTTGGGAATTACCAACTATGAACTAAGTCCACTTTTCAATTTATTTAAAAAAAGCTGTGACATCAACTCTCCTAGAACTCTAACACCTAAAGCTCATACACCCCTTGACAAAGTCATAGAAACTCTCTGTATTCCAAAGAAGCCTTTCTTTTTTACAATTTTATGAAAAAAATGCAACTTTGTAGTCTCATTTTTCAGTAGAACCCTTCTGAGGGTTCTACTGTTATTATCCTTTGTTAATAACAGAATAACTTTTTCTTCCCTACAAATTTCCAAAGACTATTTTTACAATTTTAGAGATGATAGCACAAATTGTAATTAAGGCCAGAACTAAATTAAGTTAGCAGGTCAAGAATTTGCAGCTCAAGAATGGTGACACTGGCCCTGGAAAAGGCTCCCAAGTGCTGATTGTGATGGCCATGACACACTGTTCACACCCACCAGGATGACGAGGGGCTGCAGGGAATAACCTCCACACAGGGTTCAGCACCTCAGCTGAATCACCCAAATACACTCGTGTCTAATCATGTTAATTATAATCCTCATCCTCCTTCATCTCTGCTCTTTCCTCCTCAGTCACCTGTACTTGCTCTTTCACCTCACAGCACCTTATAAACTCAGTCTGGAAATCTCTCAGGCTGTGCTTATTGCACAGCATCTTGCAGACTTCTCTCTCCTGATAAGTGAGACAATAATAAGAGGGAGTTTCTTCCATTTTTGGAAAGAAATGTTATAGTTTTTTGCTACCTCACACACAGCAAAACTCAAGATCACTGGCCAAAGCAGGCAGTCACATGAAACTGCAATTCTCCTGAGCAAAACTGCTCCTCTGTTATTACACTGTGCTTCTGCAGGAGGAAGAGCCAGACAAGTTCCAGAAGCCAGTGTTTATTTTAATTTCTCCCCACACCCTGAAAGCCAATTTGCCTATATGCAACACATGCTTGCTCAGATGAAACCGCGTTCTCCGTATGTCCCATATCCGACAAGGCACTTTATCTTGGTCTGGCTGGTTAGTGATTAACACTCTGTATTGCAGTGACCTGCTTTTCCCAGCTCCTGAGGAAGGGTTTTACCTGCCTCATGCAAAGCATAAAGGTCTGCAAGCAGCATGCTTTCTGCCACGTTTTTTCATTCAGCTCTTGAGAGAGAACACCCATGGCAGGTTTTGCATCCATGACTGCCCAGTGAACTCCATCCTTCCAGTGCTCATTAAACTTCTCTTTGTGAAATGACATTAAGCAA